CGCCACAGATATGCGCGAGCAGCGGGCCAAACATTGGAAGCCAGACAACTACGACAACACGGGCTACGTGAATGCATGGAGGCAACACGCCTCGGCAGCAGCGTTCCCGAAGTCGACGCACGAACCGGACTGGATGCCCACATTGGATACCTTTTGTTGCAGCAGTCCGTCACGCCAAAGGATGCCCTGGACTCGACGGCTGGACAAGTCGCGAGGTCAAGGTGCTCGAGAAGATATACCCCACCATCCCCGAGGAGCTGTACGATATGTGGGTCATGACATCACAACAAGCAGTTGAGCTCCGAGGTAGACTACCGCCAGAAGTGCTGCACGCCATATTTTCCTGGCGGGTAGCTGGCATCCCGAAGAACGAGGAGGCCACCCGTCCCATCTCAGTGGGATGGATCCGTGCTGATGTGAGCCTGGCTACGGGCCTTGGCGACGGCATCAGCTTCTCCCCCAGACTTGCAGTGGGCCAACCGCAGACATACATCGGTGGCGCACGCTGTCTCCAAGTGGCTGAAAGATTGCACGGAAGGTCAGTGTGGCGCGGAGATGGACCTCTCAGCGTGCTTCGACCAAGTGGACCACGACTTGGCCTTGGAAGCGGCTGATCATTCAGCCATGCCGTATGCCGTCATGTACACATGCTACGCCGCGTGGAAGGGCCCGAGGATCTGCTGTATTCAGGGAGAGCTCGCACCACCACTGGATCTGTGCCAAGGCCTACCTCAGGGCGACAGCACGGCACCTTGCACGCTCGTTTCGACGCTTGCACCATGGGCGCCGATATCACAGGGGCACGCTTTTATGGACGACAGAAGCCTAGTAGCTGGAAATACAGACGACCTCGACAGGGACTTGCAGATGACACAGCAGTTCGACACGTCTATCGGGTATTGTGAGAACCAGAGTAAAAGGCAACGCTGGAGTATAGATGGCCCTGTTCCAGTCCAAGTGGAACATCTGGGCATTCTTGCTACTCCTACAGACCACGCCGCCCCCATCATCCCGAGGGGCGGGTGGCAGAAGCTCGAGGCCGCCATCGCAGTGCTGGCCGCCATCCCAGGCAGCCACCAAGTACGACTCAGGTTGGCCTTCGTTCGCATATGTGAGGCCGCTTTGGACATGGGCGTTGCCTATTGTGACACCGCCACCAAGACGATTTGCGAGACTACTGTGCAGAGCTCTTTGGAAGACGGGCTCGCGATGGCGGTGTTTCGGACGCTATTGGGCGCAAAACGTATTGTTGCATCCTGAACATTCGGCTGCGGTTCTTGGATTTCGAAAGTTAGTGGATGAGAGGCTGGTGTGGAGTGATTTTCTGGACGCGACTCTCTCAGAGTACGCTCGAGTATTGGGATTATCCTTTATTCGTTATTCGCCCACCCAGGGCGCCATTCTTGAAGTGGATTCGCGCGATGATTTCAGAGTCAGGCACGCAGCGGAGCATGTAGTGGGCGACGACTGGAGGTTCAGCGCGAACAGCAAGGCCGCCCAGCATGCTCTTAGAAGCACAGCACGCATCAGATGCCACCTGCAAGTGGTGCGAACGAGATACGACGCTGAGGAGATTGACGACGTTGACGTGCAGGCATCGTCCAGCAACATAGTTTCTAAGTGGCTCTTGAGCTTGAGTGAGGAAGACCGCACTCTCTTGGCGGTCTTCAGGTCGGGGGCGGTCACCTCCGAGACACGACGACGCACTGGATTCGATGGTAAGCACTGTGGGGCATCGACCCCAAGTTTTCGCCACGCCTTCGCCGAGTGCCCCAGGCATGCCGGCGAACGACCAGCAGTGGAAGACCGCTACGACCTACCTCCGACGTTCTGGACACGCGTGCCGAGGGTGACTAGTAAGAGTGGTTGGATTGTTGTGTCGCAAGAGTGCGAGAATGCTCACGGCGACATGTGCGTGCGAGAATGCTCACGGCGTTCGAGAATGCTCACGGCGACATGCGCCCTTGGCTGAAGCATTCTCAAGAAAGGGGTTGACGACATGCTCACCGACCCCACGCCGCCACCTCGAGCGCGTGGTCCGGCGAGGCTTGTTCACTAACATGTTACGTATGAGATTATCCCATATGGTCAGGATATTTCATTCAACTTTTCTCTCTCGAGCCGCGCGGACTGCCACCGGCGTTTGTGCGCACAGTCAACCCGCATAGCAAGGATGGGCGACATTACCCAGGGCACCCTTGCATCCCAGACCTCGCGTTGTGTTAAACTCACGACGGAGGTCTTTCGTTCTTCCCAACCATATTGTGGTGTTGGGTCCTCGTTTTGAAGAAAGGTCCCCGCGTTCCTTTCTTCCCTCCTCCTCCTTCTTTCTCCCTCCTCCCTGCGCTTCACCCACCCAGTACAGCGTTTCGTAGCCCCATAGGGAGCTCCATCGAAGGCTCCAGTGGGACCGCCCGCATGCGTCATCCACCACCCAGCACAGCGCTTCGTGGCCCCATAGGGAGCTCCACCGAAGGCCCCAGTGGGACCGCCCGCATGCGTCATCCACCACCCATACTGCGCTTCGTGGCCCCGTTGGCGGATCCACCGAAGGCCCCAGTGGGACCGCCCGCATGCGTCATCCACCGCCCAGCACTTTAAGGGGGGGGGTCCACCGAAGTCTTCAGTGGGACCGCCCGCATGCGCTAGCGAACACCCAGTACAGCGCTTCGTGGCCCCATAGGGAGCTCCACCGAAAGCCCCAGTGGGACCGCCCGCATGCGTCATCCACCACCCATGCTGCGCTTCGTGGCCCCATTGGCGGATCCACCGAAGGCCCCAGTGGGACCGCCCGCATGCGTCATCCACCCAGTACAGCGTTTCGTGACCCCATAGGGAGCTCCACCGAAGGCCGCAGTGGGACCGCCCGCATGCGTCATCCTCCGCCCAGTTCACCGCGTCGTAGCCCCATAGGGAGCTCCATCGAAGGCCCCAGTGGGACCGCCCGCATGCGTCATCCACCACCCAGTACAACCTTTCGTGGCCACATAGGGAGCTCCACCGAAGGCTCCAGTGGGACCGCCCGCAGTTCAGCGATTCGTGGCCCCATAGAGGGCTCCACCGAAGGCCCAAGTGGGACCGCCCGCATGCGTCATCCACCGCCCAGTACAGTACTTCGTCGCCCCATAGGGGGCTCCATCGAAGGCCCCAATGGGACCACCCGCATGCGTCATCCACCACCCAGTACAACCTTTCGTGGCCACATAGGGAGCTCCACCGAAGGCTCCAGTGGGACCGCCCGCAGTACAGCGCTTCGTGGCCCCATAGAGGGCTCCACCGAAGGCCCAAGTGGGACCGCCCGCGTGCGTCATCCACCGCCCAGTACAGTGCTTCGTCGCCCCATAGGGGGCTCCATCGAAGGCCCCAATGGGGCCACCCGCATGCGTCATCCACCCAGTACAACCTTTCGTGTCCCCCTAGGGAACTCCACCTAAGGTCTCCGTGGCGGAACTGGCATGGCGGCCCAGCGGCGGAGTTCGCATGTCGGCGATTTTCGGTTTTCGGACGTTTTTCGTCGTACTCGACGTGTTGAGGCCGGTTTCGCGCCGCGCATTCCAGGCGAGGGCCAGCTTGTTCGCTCTCTTTGCTCCGCGCAGCGGACGACCCGCGCGCGTCGCCGGGACCTCTTCGGTGCGACCGGCGCGCGTCGCGGGGACTCCGCGTGGCGCCGCGCCCGCTTTGGACGTGGGCGTGCACGGGCAAAGAGGGAGGAGAAGAACCTGAAGGTCGTCTTCGCTCGCGTTGTGTGCCCCGCCACGCATGTCGGCACGCCCCTCACACGGTTCGTGGCCCCATAGGGAGCGCGGGCAAAGATGATATATGATATTCGTAGTTGCGGTATTCACAACTGCATCTAGTTGGGTCCTTCGCCAGGCTACTTTTCGGCCTCCAGTGGCGCTTCCCTGGCCTCGCGACCGTCAAACAATGGCTCAGGATGAAAAGCCAGTCCCGTGGAAAGGGCCCAGACCTCTGGGGAGCGACGTTGTGAAACAATCACGGCGCCGGGGGTCCGGGATCCCTACCCCTCCGGCCCATCCTTGGCCATTTTCGCTGGCCGCGCCCCTCCTCGAAAAGCTTCGGAATGGCCTTCCGAGGCCTTTTTACATCTTTTTCGTGCGTCCTCATTGTACGTGTTGATTGTATGCCCAGAGGAGGAATAGTTCATGTTAATGATACGTTCCCAGATTTCCCAGGTTCCCACGAAGTTCTGTATTTCCAGATATTCCACGCAGGCTGCGCCGCCCGATATGTTGTAAAGCTTGGAACGTATCCTGAGCCACGACTATCATGACATCGTTCTCGCCGGATACGGTGGAAGCCCATGCCAAGAAACACCTTGTTTGCCTCCCGGATGCCCTCGGTTTCTTGGGCTTCGATGGCTCTGCGATGGAGAGCGTGACGTTCCCACGTTGAACGTCGATAGACGCCCTGGGGTCTCAGGGTTGGGTTTCTTGTGGAAGTTTCTTGTGGTCGAGCTCCTACTATATATGCTGCGTCTGTTCCAAAATCGATAGACGCCCTGGGGTCTCAGGGTTGGGTTTCTTGTGGGAGGTTTCTTGTGGTCGAGCTCGTACTGCATATGCGGCGTCTGTTCCTCAGCTTCTCCCCCCTCCTCTCCATCGGGGGGGGCGATGGGGACGGGGGCCGACATGTGCTGGGGGGCCTTCTCCGAGCATAGGGGGTCGACTACAGGATTGGCGTAGCTCAAATTGGATTCTGTCGCCGAGTCTACCAACATGTCAGCGACGAAAAGGGGGTCGCCTGCCTCGCGCGAAAGCGCCCTCGTCTCCAATGTGGCGTGCCTCGCTGGCGGCCCGCGTAAGCTGCGGCGTAAGGTCGCTAATTGCGTCATCTCCCGTAAGACCCATTTTTTGATCGTCGCCCATGTGGAATGTCCCGTAGATCTACGGAGCATTCTACGTGCTGTAGTAGATGCGACAAAAGCATCAATTGTGGGTTGAACCAAATCTGTAGTCGGTTCCCTACTCGACTCCTCCCAGATGGCAGCACCTGGCACGTGAAGCTGATCGACTGGGGCTGCTTCGTCTGGGGCACGTCTCGCAACCAGTTCTCCAGCGCGATCGGCGACCGGCGGCACCCCAGGGCAACCACAACGGCGCGCGCAGCTGTGCGCAGCGAAGCTCGGGCTCCTCCGCTTCCGCCCTCGCCCTGTTCCACATTCTCCCTCCTCCTTCCCTCGATGCTGTCAGTCCCATGTGAGTCTGCCGAGGCCTCCAGAGACCTCTGCAGAAGGCCAGACGCGGAGATCTCCCGATGCCCCCAGCGGCCTCCGCCATGCCAGCGCAGCACCGAAGCCCATGCGGGATGGTTTTACCGGCGTCTCCCGAAGAGGGTCGGCTGAGCTGCCTTGGGCAGTCTGGGTGGCAGTGATGCGATGCGATGCTGCAGCGCGTCGCAGCTGCCAAGTGGCCTGCTGGTTGCGTTGCCTCTTGGGAGATTCTTTGTGGAACCTGCAGCATCTAGGCCTCCCAGATGGGGTCCGAGTAGATGGGGTCGGAGGATCGCGCCGCATCGCCGATGCATCGGCGATGCAGCTCGATGCGGAGCCCGACTTTCGCCACGCCGACGGCGCCAATGTTTCGTCGACATCGCCGGTGCATCGCCAATGCATCGCCGATGCATCAGAGATGCGGCGTGTCCCCATCTACTCCGACCCCATCTATGAGGCCTCTAAGCCAGCCGTGGGCTTCTCGGGGACCCCCTTGAGCCCTCTCCGGGGCCCGAGGCACAGGGGGATGGCGTGCACAGAAGGGGCCCTCGTGGGGGATCGCCTCGCAGGGATAGCGCGCTTTTCGGAGATCGATGTTGCACGCTATATTTCCAACGCCAACCGTAGAAGTCTCCCGCAGGTTCTCGGGTTCTTTGAAGGTTTTCCGAGGCCGTCTTAGTCCAACAGTTTTTGAGTGGAGAAGCGTCGGGACCTCGTGTTTGGGTCTCCCAGGACGTTCCTTTGGCGCCTCCCCCGTGGGGCCCCGTGGAACATCTTTGAACCTTCGGGGTCTTTAGACCTTTGCGGACTGGTCTTGTGTGCCTCTGTTCGTTGGTCGAGGCGGTCTTGGAGCTCTCTTGAGGCGGTCTTGGCTCGTCACTCGTCATAGGGGGCCGTCTCTTGAGCCCCTGGCGAGGGCCTGCAAAAATGATTGAAGCCTTGACAGGCTGCCCAGAGGTACAGTCAAAGTCTATGGTAAGGACGCGGTACTTCCGCAAGGGCACCGTCGCATCCATGCGTCCTCGGCCATGCCGTGGTCAGCTTCGACATCCAAGGGCGTCCAGTGTGGAAGGTCCAAGGGCCCTGCATCCTTACATTGCGTCCTTGCCATCGATTCTGGCCCTGTCTCAACACGCTCCAGCACGCCGAGGGCACGGTTGCGGAACCAAGCAGCTTGGGGGGGCCCTTGAGGTACATGCCTCCCGAGTTCCACGCCCACCAGGCCTTCGTGATGCCGCCCTACACCTTCGACATGTACGGCGCTGGCCTTATGCACATGGAGCTCGTGTGCCCGAGCCTGCAGGCCTGCGAGCCGGGAAGGATTCGGAGGAGAAGGAGGCATCTCTCTTGCAGTGGAGGCCAATGCCAAGAAACACCCTGCGTGCCCCCAGGGCTCCCTGGGTTTATTGGGTTTCGATAGTTCTACGATGGAAGGCGTGGACGCTCCCACACAAAAAAAAACAGTGGACGTCCTGGGGTCCCAGGGTTGGGCTTCTTGTGGAAGGTGTCTCGTGGACCGGCCTCCACTGAGCCTTGCCCTTTCCTTCCCTCGCAAACTCCAGCTCGCAGGTCCCCGATTGGTTCACGATGAACCAGTTCGCGGTCGGGACGAGCTGGCCCGCGATCCATCACGCGGTGCGGTATCGCTGCCCGAGGACTCCCACCGCCGACCTCCAGCTCATCTACACGCTCACGGCCCAGGTCAGCTCGATGCGCCCGGACCCAATGGACGCCAAAGACTACCCGATCTTCACCTCCACGGACACGTCGATGCGGCCGACGCCCACCCCGCCGCCGCCCCGCAGGCCCAGCAGACCCTTGCCCACCTTCCCTGAGCCGAGGTGGCCGGAGGAGCAGCAGTGGCCGTTCCCTTTGGACGGGCCCCACCGCTGAGGGCGCCGCGCTCCTCGGCGGCGATGCAGTCGTCTTCCAGCGGGGAGCAGTGTGAGGCGGCGGAGGACGCGGCAGGTAGGAAAACGTAAGTCGGGCATTGCCCTTTACAGGAGGAGTATTCAAAAATAGTTTTAAAACATCTCATGGGGGCGATGTTTGGATTATTTGTGGCTACTGCTGTTGTATTGTTTGACTTTCTGTTTTCGCCCAAACTCCCCCTCTAGGAGGACATGCCCGACCTAAAGGAAGGCCAAGTTTTGCCCGTTGGCTGCATGGTGAAAACAGGAGAGCACCGGCGATCTTCCAGGTGGAACCAGCGTGCGTGTCCGATCACCGCAGAGAGGCAGGCCCCGAATGCAGCAGCGGCGAGCGTGAACTTCCGCAGTGCACTGCGAACGCGGCGAGGCGCGGCTCATCTGGTTCATCACATCATGTCCAGCGCCGGTCCGAGAAATCCGCGCCGACCTCAGAGTTTGTATGTTTATGTCATTGTTCGTTCCCCTAGCCAAGGCATGTTGCGGCACGGCACATTTGGTTACTTACCCGTTTGGTCGAGTGTGACATGTGCAGTGTGCCTCGCCCAGGCTTGGCAGAGCACAGCACTCCATTTCGGAACGGTCCCTCTGGCATCGAAATACGCTTGGGGTCCTTCGATGCACGATGGCACAGCCGGCATGGCATCATGGCCTTGCGGCACGGGACGACGTGTCACAACACATTATGGTCAGCAGGATCACGAGGTGTTCCCCACGACACGGCACAGCAGCGCGGCACGTCGGCATCGAATTCCCAGGCAGCATGATCACGAATCTTTTTTTTGCTCATTGTCCCTAATCAAGCGACCACGAGAAAATTTCGCCCTGCCGCCCCACGTCAGGGGTAACGTGGGGATAGGCCCAGGGGGGGAACAGTCGATGCCCAATCGCCCATTAATCGCCGATATGGGTCTGGTAGCCCGCCCCGCTCACGAACGCGCGGTTTCGCCATCGGGGACCTATCGCCGATCTATTTGGGACGTATTGCCAGTCCCATCTCGATGCTCCTCACCTTGACGCAGTCCCTCCGTAATTCCAGAAAGCGTAAGCATGGATTAAGGCGCGTGGATTAGCGACGAGCCCCATTTCCTCACACAGTCAGCGTGCTCTGTCGCCAAATCAGGCGGCATTGGCCTCATTTTTCAGGGCGGGAGGGGGGGCTTCCCGATCCGTAGATCTGGCGCTTACTCGCAAGATCCGCGTCCAGAAAGTGACTTGCTGAGCGGCAGCATTATTTGCTAAGACTTCAGCGCAGCAGAGCCCGCATGTCCAATCATACATCGGATTACACATCACATTTCGTTGTGTTGGTTAATGTTATTATGAACCACTTACCCCCCCCCCCCCTTAACCAGAGCCACGCCACATCCACGGACCAAAGGTGGTGGACCGTTCTGCGGTTCAGTAACGCACAATAATTTAAGGAAATCACTTGTTTGTGCTTCTTGGGCTTCTTGAAACTGAGACAGGCCTCGAGGCGGCTCTGGAGGGTCCAATGATGGCCCAGCGTGTTCGTTAGGGGCGTTAGGGGCCTGCGCTTGTCCCGCTCTGGGGCGTTAGGAACGATGTGCTTTCATGTTTGTCCCGCTCTGGAGCGTTAGGAACCCAATCGCGTTCACGCTTGTCCGCTCTGGGGCGTTATGAACCCACGTGTTGCCACGTTTGTCCCCCTCTAGGGCGTTCGGAACCCGTGTGCATCCTCGTAGATCACGCTGCGCTCGCGCGCCAAAGGCCGCGATCCCTCATGCATCACATGGGTTCCGCGCTCTCAAGGCCACGGTCCCTTGTACATCACATTGACTTCGCATTCCCATAGCCGCGAGCTCTCGCAAAGTGCCCAGGATTCGCGCGTCAACGGACCACGATCATGTGTAAATTACGCTAGGTTCTGGTTTCGAGTGCCACGATCCCTGGTAAATCGAATTGGGTTCACGTTCGGGCCACGATCCCTCCTAAATTACGCTGCGTCCGCGCTCCCAGTGCCAGGATCACTCGTACATTACATTGCGTCCGCGTTCCCAGGGCCACGATCTCTCGTACATTATACTGGATCGCCCGTCAATTACGCTGCGTCCGCGTTCCAAGGGCAAGGATCTTTTGCCAATTACTCGGCATCCGCGCTCCCAAGATCCATCGCAAATAACGGTCTGACCGCGCTCCCAGAATTGCATGGGCATTTTGTGGCGCCCAAGCCTTTCAAGCGCTCCAGAACAAGCGTTTCGCCCGAGACATCCTCAGATATTCCGCGCGCAGAGTGCGCCATCCTTACTCGGACATTCAAAAAGCAAACCTTCCTTCTGCAAAACAAACGCGGGGGCCTCGAAATTCTTGCGCGCAGGACGCGCCATCCCTGAGCGGACACGCAACAAACAAACATGTTCCACGTTTTTGAACATTCTCCTGCCGCCGAACCTTCTTATTTAGTTCGAAGCTTGCGCAAAACACACCCACACCGTTGTTTTTTTTATTCGCGTCTAGAGCTCCGACCACTTTATTTCGGCACGGCACCGCCCCCCCCCATCCCGCGCGCCCCCTCCGCATCACCCCGCCCACCCCGCCCACACCCCCAGCACGGCCCCGCAGCTCGGCACGCCCCGCACTGCCCCCCCCCCCACACATCCCGCACGCCCCTTCAGCATTGCCACACCCACCAGCCCCGCCCCCCCCCATCCCGCGTTCCCCGCGCATCCCCCCACCCACTAGCCGGAGCGCCTCCTTCCGCCCCGATCATGGTATTTCGGCACGGCACTGTCCCCTCCACATCCCGCGCGCCCTTCTCCGCATCACCCCGCCCACCAGCCAGCGCTTCCTTTTCGCCACGACCCTTTTATTTCGGCACGGCGCCGCCCCCCCTCCCCATACCGAGCGCCCCCTTCGCATCACCCCACCCACCAGCCAGCGCGCCCCCTCCGCCCCGACCCTTGGATTTCGGCACGGCACCGCCCCCCAATCCCGAACGCCCCCTCTGCATCGCCCCCGCCCCAGCCAGCGCGCCCCCTCCGCCCCGACCCTTTCGGCACAGCACCGCCCCCCCATCCCGGCGCCACCTCCATCGCCCATCCATCAGCCAGCGCCGCCCCCCCCCGCCCGACCCCTTGACTTCGGCACGGCATCGCTCCCCCTCCCATCCCGCGCGCCCCCTCCGCATCCCCCCACCCACCAGCCAGCGCGCCCCTTCTGCCCCGACCCTTGTATTTTGGCACGGCACCGCTCCCCCATCCCGCGCGCCTCTTCCGCATTTCCCACCCACCAGCCAACGCGCCCCCTCCGCCCCGACCCCAAGATTTCGGCACGGCACCGCCCCGTCCCGACCCCTTACTGTAGGCCTTCCGCATCCTCTCACCCACCAGTCAGCACGCTCCCTCCGGCTCGCGCCACCTCCGCATCCCCCCAACCCACCAGCCAGCATGCCCCCTCCGTCCCGACCGCTGCCCACCCCCCGCCCCCGGCCCCATCGCCCCATCCGCATCACCCCACCAGCCAGCGCGCCCCCTCCGCCCCGACCTTGCATTTTCGGCACAGCAACCGCCCCCCATCCCGAGCGCCCCCTGCACCACCCCACACCCCACAGCCAGCGCGGCCCCCCCGCCCCGACCCCTTGATTTCGGCAAGGCACCACCACCCCTCCCATCCCTCGCGCCCCTTTTCGCACCCCCCACCCACCAGCCAGAGCGCCCGCCCGGACCCTTTTTTTTCTTTCGGCACGGCACCGCCCCCTCCCCATCCCACGCTCCCCTTCCGCATCCCCCACCCACTGCCAGCGCGCCCCCTCCGCCCCTACCCCTTTCTTTCGGCACGGCACCTTCCCGCCCCGACCTCTTATTATATGTTTTCCGCATCCTCCCACCTACCAGCCAGCGCGCTCCCACTGGCCAGCACGCCCCCTCCGCCCCGACCCCTGCATTTCGGCGCGGCACCGCTTGCTCCGCCCCCACCCTTTTTATTTCGGCACGGCACCGCCTCCCCACCCACATCCCCCACCCACCATCCAGCCGGCCCCCTCAGCCCCGACCCCTTCATTTCGACATGGCACCGACCCCCATCCCGAGCGCCCCCTCTCCATGACCCCATCCACCAGTCAGCGCGCTCCTTCCTCCCCGACTCCTTCTCTTTCGGCACGGCACCGCCCCCCCCCATCCCGCGCGCCCCCTCCGCATCCCCCCACCCACCAGCCAACGCGCCCCTTCCGCCCAGACCCCTTCTGATTTCGACACGGCACCGCCCCCCCCCATCCCGAGCGCCCCCTTCGCATAAGCCCACATACCAGCCAGCGCGCCCCCTCCGCCCCGACCCCTTGACTTCGGCACGGCTCCGCCCCGCCCCGACCCCTTACTAAGGTGTTTCCGCATCCTCCCACCTACCAGCCAGCACGCCCCCTCCGGCCCGCGCCCCCTCCGCATCCCACCCACCCACCAACCAGATTGTACGCAAAACGACTGCCTTGGACAAGCGTTCTCTGTGCAAGGCCGAAACATGTGGCACTGTGCACCGCGAGCATCCAGCAGCCAGGTCTCCTTTGGACTCGGACTTTGGAGACTTCAAGGAAGCCTTGTTCAATATCTTTTGTGGTTACCGTGGGCCTTTGAGACCCTTTGTGGGCTTCGTGGATGTTTGTTGGAGGTCTCTTGGGAGCACGTTGCAGATCCTTGAGACCATCTTGTTGGGGACGGCCCTTAGCGCCTCCTCAAGATCGCCCTCTGAAGCCTCTCTTGCGGCCCTCTCTAGGCCCTCCTTCTCCGATTTCTCGTCCCCTCTCCCCCGCTTCCTCCACATCCTCCTCCTCCTCCTCCCTCTTTTCTTCCTGTGCAAGAGCCATGGCACGCGCGCCACTTGTCTTCTGTTAAGGAAAACTTGGGTCAGCGATCCGAGATGGGCGGGTGCATTTTCCTCGAGCGGGCACGCGCGAAACGCACGCTTTCGTAGGACAATCAGACTTTACATTGTTATTTATCAGATGGAAGTTCG